TCAAACCTTTTGTTTTCTTCTTTAGTCCAGCTTGTGCTCCTGCTTTCCTGATCAAGCCATTCTGAAGTTTCCATATAAGAAGCTGAATACAAAGTTTCCATCAATGGAAGGAGAAATTGAAGAAGGGTGAAGGGTTTAACTGCTTAAAAGGGCATTGGAAGCAGAATCGTTCGATGGGAATCAAGAATCTCTTTTCCTTCAAGCATAATTCAAAGAATCTAAAAAAGAAACAACTTTAGAGAATCGAAGAGAATCTTGAAAAAGAACAAGGGAAATCTGATCTTGGTTTTCTAGGTATAATAAACCCCTGGAGAAACGACAATCAAAACCCAGATGGAATAAAGTTGTGAAAACTATAGAGAAACAGGTTTAGAAGTGAGAATTTATACCGCTGCAACCCCAAAAAGTGAAGGAAACTGTTCAACAAAAAAAATAAAAAAGCAACAAACTTTAGTGCGAGATGATGCAAGAAGCTGAAGAAAACACAGACCCAGTTGAGAAAAAAAGAAAAAGATTCTACAGAATCATCAACCCAAACAGGAAAAGAAAAAACAGGAAAATGTATAAAATTAGGATTGAGAGAAAGGAAGAGAAATGAAGCTTGTAAAGATTGAAAATTGAGAAAGTAGACGGAGCTACCAAGTTCAGAGAGGCAGAGAAAATGATAGCAGGAAGGTGGCTTCTGAGTATTGGCGTGACTCAGGAAAAATTTTCCCTCCCCTTATTATAGAGGGTTTGATTGAGGATTTTATTTCTATTTTTCAACTTTTTGTCTTCATCTGTTATTTGTCTTTATTGTTTTCCTACCGCATCATGTTGACCTGTGACATTCATTGTTTTACATGTGGAGCTGCATGGTAGAATTAAAATTATAGTTTAATTTATAAATTTATTAAAAAAATATAAAAAAATAATTTTTTATGCATATCATTTCATTAATAATAATCAAATAATATTGAACTAAACTTTCATATCTAATAATTCATCTAAACAAACCCCTTATTCTCTT